CAGGGAAGGCCATCACTGTTGTCTCGGTTAGTGCAGGGTTTATCTCCTAAGACAAAGGTGAAAAGGCTGACGGCATCATGGGTTGGGGAGGGGATGCTGCCACTACTGGGGATGAGGAAGCTGTTTCTTCTGGTGAAAAATTTTCTTCACAGTTCACAAACTCAGTGTCCCCTACTTCATCAGGGTTCTTCCACATGTCCCCATTCCAAGTTGCAGGGTCCCAATCTTTTCCAATCAGTGCCCTCACTTTAACAGTAGACATATGGCGAGGCTGTGCATGCACATTTTATTGCAGGTCATCCACTCATATGGTAAAAGCTTGTGTCTGTTTTTCCACAATTTCAGCTCTTTCTCTTCAGAGGAGGTAAGATTCTCACTCAGGTCAATCTCAGCAGATTTGAGGCTCAGTATTTGCTTCTGAAGCTGGGAGTTAGAATTTCTGAGTTCATCATTTTCTCTCATCACTTTGTCCCCTGAGCTTAGGAGCAACCAACCAGTTTCATTATGTTCCTTGGTTCTCCACGTATGGTCAAAGGTAATATGTACAGAATAACTAAACACCTTGCCTCTCAGGAGCAGCAAATGAGGAGTGTCAGATGCATTATTTTGCATAACTCTCTAAATAATTCATGCCAAGGACAGTCAGTGTTCTCCATACTATTATAAGTAGAGTCCTTAGCATTTTGGGGTCTAATTGTATTAAGCAGCCAACTCCAGAGACACCAAAACCAATAAAATAACTCCATTTTTAATATTTTGCTCCTCTAAAACCACTCCTGGCACCAAGATCTGTATTAGTCAGGGTTCTCTAGTAGGATGGATCAAATAGGATATATAGATATGTGTGTGTGTGTGTGTGTGTGTGTGTGTGTGTGGTGTGTGTGTGTGTGTATCTCCTAGTAGTATATAATATAGTATGTGTGTTATATATATAAAGTATATAATATATATACACTATACATACTATATATACTTTATATATATATACTATATGTATATATATAAAGGGGAGTTTATTAAGTATTAATTCCCCACAATAAGCCATCTGCGAGCTGAGTAGTAAGGTGAGCTGCTCCAAGAACTGAAGAATTTGGCATCTGATGTTTGAGGGCAGAAGGCATCCAGTGCAAGAGGAGATGTAGGCTGGAAGGCTAGGCCAGTCTAGTCTTTTCACATTCTGCCTGTTTTATTTCTAGCTGCACTATTAGCTGATTAGATGGTGTCTATCCAGCCCACTGACTCTAATGTTAATCTCCTTTGGTAACACCCTCACAGACACACCCAACATCAATACTTCGCATCCTTCAAGTTGACCTTTAGTATTAACCATCACAGGAGTATATAGACAAAAAGCTCATATTTAAAATAAAATGTTAAGAAGAAGCATTAGCACATGTGGCTACTATAATATTATATGCTGGTGTGGACTAAATACTTTGATTGATATTAGGCACTAAGACTAATAATGACTTTCACTACATCTACCTAAATCTGGTTGAGTATTTAGAAGACAAGTATATCTCATGTTAATCATTGATTGAGCATGAAAAACAATAGAGTCAGATTTATATTTGTATGGGAGATGTCTTTTCTTTGAATACAAATATTTATCACCTCTTTTTCTTGCTCTGTGCTTCTTTTGTTCCCAAATTTCTCCAGCTGTATCTACACACTGGTTCTGAGAGTAGGATCCCTGACCTAGCAGTATTAGTATCACCTGGGAACTTATTAGAGCTGTAATGAATCAGAAGCTCTAAGGACAGGGTCCAGCAATCTGTTGTAACAAGCCCTTCTGGAGATTGTCTTGTATGCGAATGAGGGAATGTGTTCTCTTTCTGGGTCCACCAGGACATGCAGTTTTAAGGGCAAGAATTTCCCAGCGCCATGCCCGCTCTTCCATCTCGCTCCATCCAGGAGATTTAACAGTTTTTGTTTGAATTTCGAGGGCTTGGGAAGAAACTAAGAGTCAATCACTCCAGCAGAAGTTCTAAGAAACTCCTCTCATTGGCCTGGGGTCTAGAGAAGGTGGGGGTTCCTTCCAGGTTAAAAGTCTGCTGCTTCCACACCCTTCTGACTCCATGTTTGGGTCCCCTTCCACAAACACTCCCTTCATGGAAGCCTCTTCCTTTCTCCTTGATTTTCTGTCTGGAGTCCCCTTACACACTCTCTCGTGGAAGCCTGTCCTCTCCTGCTAAACTCCATCTCTCTCTCTATTCCCTAACACTCTCGTGGAAGCTGCTTTCCTCTCCTGGATTCCATCTTTCTGGATTCTCTCACTCAGTATGATAGCTAGCTGTTTCTCTCTCTCTCTTTAAATAAATCACTTTTTACAAACACTTTTGAGTCAGGCATTTACTGCACAGTGCTTGGTGGTCCCCTCTCTCATTCTTGAGAGGGCAGGAGACCAAGAACCTGGAGAAACGTCCTCTCAGGGAAGCTGGGAGCACCCTGAGCCCCTGAATCCTAATATTACACTAACTTTAAGAGCCATTAAACTAGAGGAACGGGTGCAGTTGGTTACTCTTCTCATGTGAATTGGCTGACTTAATGCCTTATGCAAAACTGTTACCTTAAAGTCTTTCTGTTTTAATATGATGTATTATTTACATAATTTGCAGTGAAGTTAGCAGTGATAACGTAGTTTCTCAGCTGAAATTTACTGACTGTATCTTCTTACCAAAATATCCTTTGACTTGTGATTTCTTTTGCTGCCTCCCATCATCAACCTTTTTCTTTCTGCGATATCTACCATAAGTTAGCCTTTAACTATGTTGTGTCAACTGTATGTGGGTATTACTTACAATTAAAACTTGCATTTTACATATGAAAGGGCCTCAAGGCAATCAAAACTCTTCTTGGAAACAGTAAGAACATCTGAGCCTGTACTTAACAAACGTTGATTGCCAAGGAAATTCAAACCAAGGGTTAATAAGGAAGGAATTCTTGTACAAATAGATACAATAGCTATCTTTAAAAATAAGAATCTCTCTCATATGTAAGGAAGTTTTATGTTTTGTGTAGAATTCTAGAGAGTGAAAGTTATGAGTACCGATATCTGACTAATATGTTGAAGCTATTAAAATACGAAGTTTGTCTGAAAAGAGACTAGGCTATCCTGTGAGGTTAGGAGTTTTCTGCAGTTAAGGGTAATTAAGCCCATCAAATTGTGGGTTGATTGGGTGGTCTAGGCCCCTCCTCCTCAAAGTATAGTACCACCTGGGAGTCATTAGAAGGGTAGAATTTCAGGTTTCACCCTCATCCTAGTGAATCAGTATCTATAACTTAACAAGACCCATGGATGGTCCGTATGCACATCGTATTTTAGAAATAGTGCTCCAGTTGACATCTAATGAATTTTCATATTATTTTTATACATCTTGTAGGATGATGTTGTGTTGCAGAATTTAAGTAACAGTCTAGAATAGGAGGCGGTAGATACATGAGCTTGATCCCACTTTCCACTGTGAAGTCACTAACTGAATTAAATACTGCCCCCAGAAACAAAGATTGTTTCTTGGAGAATGTACTTAAATTTAAGTGAACAGGTATTTACATATTAGTTCTTTGTTAACTTTGGACTCTTGACTTTACACAATAGCAAAACATAGCTTTTGGATTTCTTGTCGCACACTCAGACTATTTGCACTAACCCCCAGATCATACTCCGCGTGGACTCCTTCGCCAATTGCTGCATGCATGCCCTCTTCCCCAAACCCAGGATCCGTGACTCTCCGTCACAGAAACGTTCCCCTTCTGCTCCGAGTAGGTACTGATCTTGTCTCCTGCTTCCTCGGTCCCTGACGGGTCTGCATGAATGGACAGCAGCCGCGGAGAGAAAAGAGAGTAGGTAAAGGGAGGTGGAGACACAGGGGGGCCTGGGGCGCGAGGGAGAGACCAGACTCTGCTGAAAGCTGAAATGGACTCGGGCAGGGAATACTTAACACACAGTTCTCATCACCGACACAGTCTGAATGGAGGAGAACCGGAGAGGTAACGAGAAATGACAGATGCCGCCACACCCTAGATGGGCTCAGGTCCCTACAACCATGACTAGCGTGCCCTGGCCCAGTGGGAAGACAGCTGCTTAAAGAAACGACGAGCACCGAAGACCCGGGAGCCAAAAGGTGCCCACGTCCGCTCCCGTCCCCACCGGCGCGGGCTGACACGCGCGCGGGGGCTGCAGAGCCCATTGTGTGCCGGCAGCCCGGGCGGGGGAGCGCGTGCCCCCTTCCTTCCCCCTCGGCCCGTCGCCGGCCCGCGCCCTCGCAGGGGGCACTGGGAGCCGCGCGAGCCTCGGCGGCCCGGGAGCGGCTCGGAGGGAGACGAGTGTCTCCGCGGGCGCGTGTGCGTGAGGAGGAGAGCAAAGACGTGATTACTTCAGAATTTATTTAAGGGCCGGTGGAAACCACTGCAGCCGCTTCCAGGGGAAGCCCTTGTTCCAGAGGAAGAGGAGGTGGCGGCTGCCAAGGAGGGGTGGGGGGGAGGAGACGGAGGAGGAGGAGTAGCAGCCGCCGCACGAGGCGCGTGAGGAGAGCAGACGCCGTGGCGTCCTCACCGGCTCCCAGCAGGTTGGTTCTCCCGGCTCGCAGGAAGGCTGGGCGGAGGGAAGCGGGCGTGTGGGGGGCTGCCGCTTGCCTTTCCGGAGAAGAAGCGCCTCCTCGAAGTGAAATGAGCCGCGCGAGAGCGAAACGGGCTGGGGCCACGAGGAGACCTGTCCTGCTTGTTTTTTTTTTTTTTTTTTTTTTTTTTTTTTTTTTTTTTTTTGCATCCCTAGGGACTCGTGTTCCCCTCAGGTTTCCAACTCTCAGGGTTAGCCTTAAACTCCAGAGGGGCTCCAGGAGCCGGGCCTGGGTGGAGAACTTCCCTCCCAGGTACTTGTCACGCCTTTTCCCCAAGCTCTCCTCGGGAGGGACGCCCCACACGCCCCGGGTGGCCCGGGCGCGGAGCGGGAAGGGCGCCGCTTGGTTAAGTTTCTGAAAGTCAAACCCGGTCCCCGGTCCCCGCCCCTGGGCTCCCGCTGCACGCGGGGCGCTGCGGCTGCTCCGGCAAAGGGGCCGCGGCTGCTTTAAGAGCCGCCTCCCCCTCTCCTCCTCTGACAATGGTCTGAACCGGGCTCTGCTTCCCAAAGCAAAATTTGTAATATGCCATTTTTCCGATGGACGCTTCTCGTTTTGGCTGCTGACGGAGCTACGGGAAGATGCCGAGCTCCTGCCACGCCACCGGGCCGGGGCACGTTCCGGGAGGGCGCCGGGGCACGCGTGTGTCTGAGCTGCCTTTCTCCTCCCGTTGCTAGGGAAATGGTCCAGGAGTGCTGGGTGTGAGCCTCCCTTCTCCTCAAGCCGGAGACTGCGGTTGTCATTGATCAATTGAAGAAGCAAGGACCCGAAATCACAGACATTAGGTACAGAAGCTGTCTTTGAGTTTCACTGTCTCCTTTCGCTGTCTTTTTTGACCACCTCCCCAGCCCCACCCCGCCCCCAGGGAAGATGAGATGCAGATCCTTCCTTGTCGATTACTGTTAGGTACCTTTTGCTTTCACCTCATCCTCTCCGTCTCGTGTCTCTCTGCCTCCTGCCTTCTTGGCTGTGTCCTGTTGGGCAGGATGAACAATTTCAGTGTGGAAATGATGAAGTCAACTTCTTCAAGGTGGCGGGGGGTGTGGCTGAGAGATAACTGTCCAGTAGTGTGGGGTGAGCTGGCTCTTTGGCTGTCTGTAAAGGCACTAGGTAAAGGAAGTGTAAGATGCATCCATTAAAGGTGATAATCATATTTCCCGAGGACAGAGGCTTTCAAAGAGTTAAATAGGAGGGGGAATAGTCATGTAATGTAATCAGACAATGGCTAGGATTTCTCTCACTGAATTACTCCTTGTAGGTTAACTGAGGTGGAGCTGGGATGGTTCCTAAGACTAAATATTTTCAGAAGAAACTCACTATAGAGAATAATTACATTCTCACCTCTAGTAGGGCCCAAATCCTAGTGATATGATTAAATAAAATCATTGGTTGTCAGAAAAAAAAGAAAAAAAAGCTTTTTGTAGCACTCTTATATCTGAAGAGGTACTGCTTGGATGGCATATATTACTAAGGAATACATCGGATCTTGAAAGCCCTTGAGTGAGGACTCCAGTGGGCATTCAAACTTTTATTTTGAAATCTGAGAAATTTAAAAGACAGTCAAGGTTATGTGCTAAGAATAAAGGAGTCGATTTTCCTGATATAAAATTCTTCCAGCTAAATTTAAGCACTGGGATAATTAAGCCAATCAGATTTATTATTACTTTTTTCCTTTTTCAACAAAATTAACAATGTCTCTAACTAGGCTTCAAAACCTTCTGTAATTTAATGAAGAAAGCATCAATATACCTAGATGAAGATAACACAATTTATATATCAAACTAATTTTGAGGAGGGAATGATGAAAAGGCAAATATCAAAGCAAATTGTTAGGCTGCCCTTTCTGGCTTTTCAGAAATTATGTGATGAATGCAGTTTTTAGTATTAAACTGATTATAAAAGTTAAAAGTGATCTATCTGGGTGAGATGTGGTAGACACTGAATGACCATAGCCTTCTGGACTGTGCAAGTTGCTTCAGATATCATCCATTCGTTAAAAGGGTGTTTAACTGTTACATTGTATATATATCTTTAATTGCTCTTAATACTTACAATGTGCATTTAAGAAATTTTATACTGCATTTTAAGGATTGTTCAAATATTTTGTAATTTATGTTAGAATCTGAGTTATAATGAAAGAAACCAAGTAGTTCGTGAAAGTGGCCATTTTTTTTTTGTAGTCTCTTTTCTAATTTTCATAAGACTTTTGATTTACTCATTTGGGTTGACTGTTAAAAAAAAGCAGCATATATTCATCTTATTTCCTAAGTAACTTTTGAATAGTTTGATTTTTATAAATTGGATTTGAAGAGTTTGAAAGTATCTACTCAAGCCTTTAGGCAGTATGAGCCATAAAGGTAAAATATTGTTTCTACAAAGATTAATGTTGATCACTTTATAATAGAAACATTTAAATTTATAATTTCCCTTTATATGTTTTCATGTGTGTTCTCAGTTAGATAACCTATTAGATCCTTTTTTTTCCTAAGCATAGATTATTGGCTTTCTTTCATGGAAGAAATAACTAAAGTTTTGACATGTAACTTGTCCTGGTTCACACGCCTTAGGAGTGGAATCAAATCAAGTTCTTTTGAGTGTAGTTTATAATAGACTTTCTAAGTCCCTAAGCCACTTTTCATCATAGCACCTTCTGACTGACAAAATCAAAGATCACCTTTAATGTTGATTTAAGAGCCTAAAGTTTGTGAATGCTTAATATTCCATTGTAACAATAAGGGGTTGTTAGGATATTATATTCAGGTGAAAATCGTACGGGGTAATCACTGCCATTATGCTTTGCCTTGGAATTTAAAGTTGTTCTAAATCATTCAGGGTATAAAAGGAATAATAACATTTGTTGAGGGAGGACACAATTTAAAATACAGATTTAAGAATGAGTGTTTTGGCACAAATTGTCACAATGCAATGATTTGCTCTCCCAGTACTTTGTTTTAACCTTAAATATCAAAAGTAAACACATTGGCTCCTGATAATGAATTCTTAGAATGACATAGCTGCTCAATGTGAGATTTCATGTGTGGACTGCAAACTAATAATTTTAAATAATCAAATGTTTTGAAATACTTTTTGTTGTCCAATTACTTTTGAATTAATGTAAAGAAAATTTGAAGCAGTTAAAAAGAGTCTGTGTTTTCCATCTTTGTGATAGTCTTTGACTGAAAATCAAATTGAGATAAATGCAAGAAATAGTTTTATCCATTAAGTGTATAACAGTAGCAAGTGTGGGTATCTGGGGGTGTGTGCTTATATGCATTTCATGTGTCTACTCCTATTTATTTTAGTATGCATACAAAATTGAACAAATTAAATTCCTGCCTTCAGGTAGCTCAGTGTTTTGAGCAATGAGCAAAAATTCAAAGTATTTAAAATTTTCCTAATATTCACTGACCCCTTCCTTATTTATATATATATATTTTTGTGATGGAATCTTGCTCTATTGTCCAGGCTGGAGTGCAGTGGTTTGATCTCAGCTTGCTGCAAACTCCACCTCCTGGGTTCAAGCAGTTCTCTTCTCTCAGCCTCCTGAGTAGCTGGGACTGCAGGCACCTGCTACCATGCCTGGGTACTTTTTGTGTTTTTAGTAGAGATGGGATTTCACTTTGTTGGTCAGGCTGGTCTCAAACTCCTAACCTCAGGTGATCCACCCGCCTCAGACTCCCAAAGTGCTAGGATTACAGATGTGAGCCACAACATTCAGCCCCCTTAATTTTTTAATATAGGTTATCAGTCACAAAATGCTTTGCTTACATACTTTTTAAAAGTTTCTCTTAGTTTTCAGGAGTCCCTGACCAGATCATTCACAGATAATTGAATTTTGCTCCTCAATACCCCAATTTACATGAAGACCCATATAAAAAGTAATTAACTATTGAGCTATTAAGTTTTGACATTCTATTTGGAAATATCACCAGAAATATCTTCTCCAAGGACAGGAATGTGTAGACAGAAAACTTAATTGACCTTACATTATGAAACCAAAAAATGCTTCAGGATCAACAGCCAAACCTGCCTTTCTTTACATCTGCCTTTTGCAAAACCAAGCTGTCTAATTAATTGCTGCTGGCTGTGGTACAACAACCAAAATTGAGATGAGTTTGACTTTTCTTTGAAACATAAGCTAGAGGATGAAAGAGAAAATGAGATGATTTCTGACTTTTAAGATGCCACATAATTGTTTAATCATGCACCTATGTGTGTTTTTTCTATTTTAAATCATATTTAAAAATATTCTGAACAGTTCATTTATTTCATGACTGGGAATCTGTGATTAGCAGCTGAGATGTGAAGTTACTACATTAGCTAATATAATTTATGACATCTGTTTCGTGGAATATTTGAAAAAGTGCTAGTTTGGATGAAAACCAGACCATGAGGCTAACAGGAAAAAAAAAAAAAGGAATATTAAGTGTAATGATGAGTATAATACCCTAAACAAATTTATATACCTCAGTCTGTTTCATAAGGCATTTGTGTGATTCAGTCAATATTACTTATCTACTCTGTATAAGCCACATAGGAATTCAGGGAGAGAGCATGTAAAAGTAATAAAACGGAAAATGTAATGTCAAAAAGCTTAAAATTAGTCAGCTTGGGAAAAAAAAATCTGGTGATTAAAAAACAAAATAAAAGCTGATTATTATATAAAATGAATACTCAATTATTTGTAGATTTTCTACAAGAAAGAGTAAACATTAATTCGTTGAATTACCTAAGTCATTCAAAAGTCATTTACTTCCTACCCAATGGTATTGCTTGCCATTACCAATATACATAATAACAAAGGTAACATAAAAATATTCACTGTAAGAGATTTATAAACTTGCAGATAAGAAAGATGATTAAATAATTATTAAAATAACATGTTTATGTAAATTGAATTAGGTGGGATAAATCATAAATAAAAACTTTGAGAAACAGGTGAAACCAAGTTGCATATTCGAGGTGGGGCAAATGTGGTGTTATGGAAAGAGAAAGCACTTAGGCTGAAGAAATCAAATGGATCATATTTTATGGAGGTCAAAACATTTTGCTTGGTTGGAGTTGGGGCCACAGGTAGGGGAAATAGAGACAATTATGCTAATGAACTGCAAATGTTTAGTGAATTGATGTCTGAATGACGCTATTGGAAATCATTTCTTTACTAAGACTCCTTTCCCCTTACTTTCTTTAAGCAATGATGTGTGAAGTGATGCCCACGATTAACGAGGACACCCCAATGAGCCAAAGGGGGTCCCAAAGCAGTGGCTCGGACTCAGACTCCCATTTTGAGCAGCTGATGGTGAATATGCTAGATGAAAGGGATCGTCTTCTAGACACCCTTCGGGAGACCCAAGAAAGCCTCTCACTTGCCCAGCAAAGACTTCAGGATGTCATCTATGACCGAGACTCACTCCAGAGACAGCTCAATTCAGCCCTGCCACAGGTATGCTTCCTGGTAGCCATTGTTTCTCTTGTTGTAATTGAAAGTTTAATAATATTTAAATAAAATTCACTTTACTCCCATTCCTAATGTTACTTTTACACTTAACGTAAGTGATATGCGCATTTTAGTGAGAACAAATTAGGAATAGATAATTAGTTCACTTGAAACCTTGCTTCAAACAAAATCATGGACTATTGATGGTGGTTGGGGGTTTGTATGAGAAGCACGAATTCTTATCTGGTCTGATTGGTTTGTTTTAGTGGGGTGGAAAACTACTTGTTGATCAGCTTTTAATGACCAGAACGTGGAGTAGTTTTATCTTTCTTACCTTTTAAACGCAATTATGACATTTGGAAATATGTATTTTCCATTTTCAGTTGTGAGATCTGTCTTTGAAAATGACAGTACTTTGGAAGTCTCATGTTCAACTATTGTTCTATTTATTTACTTTTTAAAATGCCTAATATCTGCTTTAAAATTCTTAGAAGTGATAGTCTATTATCCTTTCCCCTGAAAAAATACTTTATCTGGTTTCTTTTTATTTTTAAAACATTTTAGAGATTGATGAAAGGGAAAAATTTAAGCTTTCTTCTCACAAATATGACATTGTTAGATTAGCTATTTATTAAATACATTTCTGTCAATCTTTGTATTTAACTGAAAAAAAACTAAAAAATTTTAAGGACTGCCAGCCTATTTATTTATAAAGTTAATGATGAGAGTCAATTTACTTATTTAAGAAAAGCATAATTGTGCCTATTTTAGGTATGTGAAAAAACATAAAATATTTTAGGTATGAGAAAAAACATAAAAATGAATGAGATTTTTGATATTCACTCCCATTAAACTATAATTTTCTTTTAAATATAAGGTTGATTGGCCCTCTCCTTAAAAGACAGTATAGCAAATGTTGAAGAGTTGAATTCTCTCCACAAAGTTATGGCTTGTAGCAAAGATATTTTTATAAATACTGAAAACTATATATTCAAAGTTGATAAAATGCTAAAGCTAGCTGTACTATTAACTCACAGAGGTATTTATGACTCTCAAAATGGAAAGGATTACTAAGAACCCCCTGTCAAATCCTGATTAGGTAATCTCATAACCCTATGTGAATAACTGCCATTCCAGTACTTTTCATTTTCAGTAAGTTTATCTTCAATATTAAATTGAATTTCAATGTTCAATATAAATATTGAAATATATAATGTTTCCAATAACTCTCACTTTATAGTACCCTGGTTTGTGCCATCACACAAAATGTTTTGACTCATTTCAAAAGGCAGCTATGATAACTATACCAAATACTGTATTTTTTCAGGAAGACATTTTGGTCTTTGCAATTGCTCTTTATAAGGTGATTTCTAGAACTATAACCATTATGCTCACTCTCTTGGAGGATTATTTGAGTTGGTTAATTCTCTTGTTAAAGTAGTCCCAGAACCAGTCACTCTCTTCCTCATCTACTATGACAAGTGGAAAATGGGCCAATCATTTCTTCTGGATACAGTGTTTCATTAGCTTACACTGGGATTTTATTATATTTGAAGACAAGTTTAATATACCTTCAGTGTGTACTGGGACAGCAGTCAACTGAAGTTTCTAACTGACTTGCATAGATGCTGCAGTATGTTCCCATTTCCTTGCTCCTTGCCCTTCTTAGAAGTTGACTCTGAGTCTATGTGTAAGACTTTGCATGTATCCCCCTTACATTTGTCTTTCTGTATTTTACTCAAGCTTGAAGTCTTCAGTTTAAATCCTAACCTTATCAAAATGCTTACTAAAAGTAATTTGGAGTTTTTTAAAATGTTTCTTTTGTAAGATAATAGGTGACAATTTTATTTAAAAATTTTGTAAAAATAAAGCACTAGAACCAGATACTTTAGTAAGAAAAGGAGAAAACTGAAAACTATTTTTATATATAACTGTATCGTGGAGGTAAATCTCTTCATAAAGGTATGAAATTGAAAATATTTCATTTCTGGCATATCTAAATTATGATGCCCTTTTAAAATGTTAAATTTTAATTTTTAAATATACTGCCCAGCCTTTTATCTAAACCTCTTTGGGCCAGTTGTGTTTTGGAGTTCAGAAGTTTTCTTATTTCCTCTCTCTTTTTCTCTCTTGCTCTCTCAGTTTTTTCTGTCTCCCCCACACTGTGTGTGTGTGTGTGTGTGTGTGTGTGTGTGTGTGTGTGTGTATGTGTGTGTGTAGTAGTAGTAGTAGTAGTAGTAGTAGTAGTAGTAGTGTATTATAGAACACTCCTCCTGAAGGACTATGGGCAGTACCCATATTTCCCAATGTTTCTGAAATTTTTCTGAAGAGAATCCTATGAATATTCCTACTGCATGGGAAAAATAAAGACTGTAAATAGTCTCATGATAAGTATAGGTCTGGTTTTCCCACCCTTCAAGTTCATTATATATTCACATATAAAATGTCAATTTCAGAGCGTATGGATTTTGGAATTATAGATTAGGGATTATAAACCTATACATTTAGATGGCTATACTTCCAATCTATTTTAAAAATACTTTGAGGGGCTGGGCATGGTGGCTCATGCCTGTAATCCCAGCACTTTGGGAGACAAGACAGGTAGATCACCTGAGATCAGGAGTTCGAGACCAGTCTCTAACATGGTGAAACCTTGTCTCTACTAAAATACCAAAATTAGCCAGGCATGGCAGTGAACACCTGTAATCTCATCTACTCGAGAGGCTGAGGCAGGAGAAGTGCTTGAACCCAGGAGGTGGAGGTTGCAGTCAGCCAAGATTGTAGCACTGCACTCCAGCCTGGGCAACAGAACCTTTGTGCCACTGCACTCCAGCCTGGGCAACAGAGCCAGACTCTGCCTGAAAAAAAAAAATACTTTGAGGATTTCTTTGTCAATATCAATTTGTATGTTGCTATTATAAATATCAGTGTACCCCTAGAAATCCACAGGTCCTTAATGATAATCTTCTTATTTTTTTAAAAGGAAGTGTTTAATAACCTAGTCTGTATCTTTAGGGCCATAAGTTTTCTACAACTAATAGGGGAATATTCTTCATTAATTGCTATCTTTGAATTTTTGTGAATATTTTTACAATAATGTGCCACTGGTTGGTGGCATTGCATTTGACATTTACCTGGAAGGAGAAAATGACTACCATAAATTTGAGTTTTGAGGCAAAAATAAAGCATGTAAAATTGAAAACCACTGGAGAAACAGAAAAATGAAAGTTATTTCAGCAAACACAGAATACAATTGAAAAGAGAGAGAAACTTATGACATAGATATCCTAAATTGCCTATTCAGTGCTTTTAGGTCTTGGTGATTGGAGTTTTACTTTAGTCACTTTCTATTCTATTATTTCCTTATAAAAGAATACAATATTTTTTAACAATCCTAACCATGTAAATTATTTTATAGCCATATTGTTTAGTTTTTCTTTATGTCTTTGGATATATCTGTGTTTAAAGAGTTATGGTAATTTTACATAATTCTGCGTCTCCGGGCCTAATGTTTCTAAGCTCTCTCCTCAGTTTTCTACCTTATTAATGCACAGATCCATTTTAATGTTCCACAGAACCTCAGATTCAACATGCTTCAAACTCAGTCATCATCTGCCTCCAATTCACAACCTACATGTGCTCTAACTCCTTATCTAGACACCTTAAGAGTCCTTATAGATGGTGCTTTCTTCCTCGTCTCTGAATTCAGTCTTCAGTGGGCCATACTTTTTTTACCTCTGAAATAATTCTCAAATCTCTCTACTCTTCTGTTTTTGGGGCACCCAACTCTGAACTTCTTTGCTCCATCTCCTACATTTCTAGTTTTGTAAATATGTCACATCATATGCTTGAATAATATGACACTGTTTGCAGTGGCCCAGCAAACTCCATTCTTTTTGCTTCATGCATGTTCATCTCACTACCTATAATGTTCTTCCTCAATATCTTTGTCTGGTTAATTTCCCATCCTAGCCAAAAGTGTATCTCTTCCAGGTACTCTTTTTTGAACCCTAAGTACATTTGTCTGTGTTCCTTACTCTTATCATTTATCATATTTTAATTAAATTATCTGTTTATGTGCCTGTTCCCCAAGTATAAGCTGTTCTAAAGTATAAGCTCCTTTAGAACATGAGCAGATCTCAATAATGCAAAATCCTTGAAACCACCAAAGTACTAGGCCCATAAAAATGGCCTTTAAAGTAAATTTGAAACTAAATATATGTGCATTTTGACGTAGAAAGAATAATAAACTTGAAATAGGAAGATCACTTGGTTTGTACTGTGATCCAGCTACACATCACTAGTTTGAGTCTGAATTTCTGATTTCCATGCTACAAAATGTGGTTAATACTAACACCTCATAGGGTAACTTGTGATGATTAAAGAAAATGAGATAAGTAAAAACTAATTAATGTATAAAACATTAAATGTAGAATTACTTGCATTTCTTTTTCTAGAATGCTAAAAGATGATCATTTGTATATATGTATGTTAATAATCATTAGAATAATTAGAATAATTTAGGAATATTGACAAAATTAGCAATCCGAGACATTTTTGAGAAGAGGGGGAATACTTGTCAGTTACTAATATATTTGTTAAGAATATTTAGAGGAGAGGTAAAGGGAGTGTGCTTCCTTCTGCAAAATGTCATATGTAAAAGTTGAAAATTTCTTTTCATCGCCTTAATTAGCATATATTGAGGGTACACTGCATTATTAAATAGTTACATATATTTGTAAAGGGGATGGGGAAAACAGTTTGGCTCTCAGACTGTTTAGGGAATAGAGTTGCTCTGAAAAAATACATAAATGAGCCCAAATAATTATAGTACTGGAAGATTATAGAAGTACTGCAAGTATTTGAATTCTGAAGTTGATATGTGATTAACTACAAAAAGTTTCATGTGGAAAGTGATATTAAAGAGGTATTTTTGAGAAAAGGTTGGTAAAGATTCAGAGATTTTCCATGTGGGGCAGTAGAGTTGTATAGATAGAACTTTGCTG